GGGGGGACCGTCAAAAATTTTTTCGGAAGAAAGTGCCTGGCGTTAGCCACGCCCTCGAAAAAACGGTATACTTCCCAAAATTTTTGCGGGCCTTCAACTTCGAAAATTTTTCTTATAAAGCTAGATTTAATTTCTAAAAATTTGAAAAATTATTTCAATTGTTGTATGAACAATTCACTTGCGCATTTTTTCATTCGTGTAAGTGACTTCAAAAAATTTCGCTTCAAGTTTGATTTGAAATAATGTCTGTCAGTAACCTAAGCACAGGTTTTCTTTTTTTGCTTGTTTTTAACCCTCACTCCGTTATCTAGTGCTTCCGTGTATGTGTATGAGTGAAACGGACGAAACGTTTCCGCGAAATCGAATATGGAGCAGCATATGATAAGATTCAAGATTCCAAATGCGCACACTCTAAAAAACGGTGGGTTTTTCATATTTAACGGCAGACAGTTCTTTCAAAAACAAAATTACTTTTGTCAGAGAGAACTTTCGTTCGATTAGAAAATGCGCTGAGATGACGGAATGCTAGTTTTACAATTATTCATAAGTCAAAAGAATAATTGTACTCTTGTCATTCTTTCTAAGAAGTGAGAAAAATTCTAACCTCAATCGCGGCTCATCTTCTGGAGGAGGTATGGGACAGTGGCAGTCCAGTTCCTAAAGAGTACAACATTCATAGCATACAACACAAGACATGAACGTCAGCGCAACGAACAATATTTAAGCAAAAGCATTCAGATTAGATTTTACCTGAAATGTTAGAGGTACACGTTGGCTTTCGGGAATGTAGAGATTCGAATTGGTGTCGGTAGAGGAGTAGAATGGTCGGTAACCGCGATTGAAGTATGCCGGCACGGAAACAGTTCTTGTCGGCGGTGGCTCATTTGATGGTAAAGACCTGGCTCTGGAAAAGAGGAACATAGCTTGAAGTAGTAATGTAGATTCATTAGCAGTGCATAAAACGTTTGCAATTTATTCTTCACCTACTTTTTTGATGGAAGCTGGTAAAGGGAGCTTTTAGGTCCCATACTTTTCGAAACTTTACCAAACTCAAACAAACCTCATTTCTGTTCGTTCATTTTGCTTCAACTTCAAGCGCTTGCTGATGTATCCAACAGCAGCATACTCGACCAGAGAACAGAATACCATCAAAAAGCTCACTCCTGAAATTAGTCAACATAAGCAGTTTTTCAAACACAGTTGGGTTCAATTTTCTCAAAGATTTTTCCGCTAATAATGAAACAATTTTTTGCATTAGAATTCACCATTATGATATTTTCGACTGCGCGTTCTCTCAGCAAACTGAGGAAATTAAACCTAGTTCTCAAATATGCAGCAAAACTCTTTTTCAATGCCTTTTGTTTGCTAAAACTGACAAGAATTCATAAAAGCCAACGTGATGACAAGTATGGTCGTACCAAGTTATAGTTAGTATTTATGGTTTTTACTTTATTGATAATTTTGTTTGAATCAAACAAGAAAAACGTACGTAGGTACCAAGAATATTATCATATCAATTTATCCTCATAAGCTTCTCACACAGAGTGCGATCATACGTGATTATGCTTGTGCCTTTGATTCTATTCATGCAGCTACTTTAGATGTTTCTCTTACTTGCTTCTTTTTTAAAGCTTCTTACTTTAGTCTGTCAGCCACTGATGTGCAACTGTTAATGTGTCAAGATGTTAGATGAGGTCGTACAGATTTTTGACGCTAAGAATAGCATGCATCGCTCATGTCCACTGTAAAAAAGAGGCTGAACTTTGCATCGCTTCGCTATAACTTAACTGGAAAACATTTTCCAGACTCAGGCAACGATCAAACGCAGCTTTCATGAAGTTTCGTTCGGTTACGGTAATCATCCTGGATGACTTCACAAAATGTTGTGGCACAACTACAGTCACAAGATTGTTGCGGCAACTGCATTGAGCTGCAGCAACTGCATGACTCCGCGAAACTGTTGCAGTGGAACTACAACTTATGTTAGAGCAGCGCTAAGCTAGATCATGACCATCACTGACCACGATCTGAACTTTGACCCCAGAGTAGGTATAAATAGCGGGAGATTCGAGGATGTCACCATTTGTTTACAAGTCTTCTGGGGAAGGGGGCGCGAAGTACTGTAGGAGTAGTCGTAGTAATAGTAGTATTACAAATATAGTCGCAGGTTTAGTTAGTCGTAGTGGTAGTTGACACAAGTACTGTAGTAGTCACCTAACCTTACAAGTATAGCTATAGCTACTATAGTAGTAATGAGGTAGTTGCTATATACTAACCCATAGGTTCTTGTTATT